TTTTTTTTTTTTTTTTTTTTTTTTTTTTTTTTTTTTTAATGTTGCGAGTGAGTTATCAGTGACACAAATCGATCATCGCAGATTTATATAATTATATTTTTACGAAATACAATCAGATTTTGTATAAAATTATTGAATAAATATATAATTGTCCTTCTAAATTCTGAAGATAAATTTAATTTTTCAGGTGTAAATAAAGATTTATTTTATTTGAACATCAACTGTTGGAGGCATCTCAGCAAACTGTTCCAAAACTATAGTAATAATGCTCAATTCAGTTTAAACCGCTTTAAAGAGTAAGAATGCAAAATTTTTTTGTTCTGTTGGCCACGTGAACGAGGATAAATGCCACTTTAGGACATTCCTATCTAAATTTAAGTGAGGTGACCGCCAATATAAGGTTTTGATTTATATTAATTAAAACTTATGCAGTTTCACGAAGAATTTTATGGGTGGCACATAAGCAAGTTGACCATGTAACTGAGATGGCCACAAAGCGGCGTTTTACTGTACGTTATTTTTCTTTTATTGAACAGAATTGATTCTTTATCTTTTCTAAACACGCAATTGAATTTTTATTATTTTTTATTACAAAACTAAACATTATCATTTTTTATCACACTTGAACATTTCTCTTTCTTCTTCATGTTTATTTTTTGATATAAAAATGAATATTTTTCTATTGTTTTAATTTTGTAAAATTTAAATATTTTCTTGCTTGAATACAGGGAACTAAATATTTTTTCCCTTGAACATGAGTTCAAAAAGAGAAATATTAAATTCCTTTTCTAATACTGGATATGGAATTTTAAATAAATTTGTTTTAAAAAGAAACTATTCAAATATTAATTTCATATAATATATATTTAGTTCGATATCTAGAAAAGAAAAATGTTCAGTTTTTTGTTCAAATAGAGAAATGTTCAGTTTTTTGTTCAAATAGAGAAATGTTTAGTTTCATATTATAAAAATCAATTGGATGTTCAAAAAAAATTCAAGATTAAATATTTTTCTCTCTTGTGTTTGGAGTTGAATATTTATTTTTCTAAATGAGTTAATGAATATTTTCTAGAACATGCAGGCCTATTGAATATTGTGAACATCAAATTAAATTTTTTTCTTTCTTGAATAAGAACAGTTTTCTTTTTGAACGTGGAATTGAATATTTCTCCTTAAAACGTACTGTACAACTAGATATTTTCCTTTTCAAACCGTATACTAAATACATTCTTTTCTCAAAAATGTATTGAGCATTTCTCTTTTTAAAATCCAGAAACAGTATTTTTCCATTCTAAAATACGAAATTCTGAACACATTTTAAAAATATAATGAATCAATATATTTTTCAAAAGCTGGAATTAAATAATTTCCTTTTTTGAACATAAATTTTAACAGTTTCCTTTCTTGAACATTCCACTTTTTGAATATAAAAATAGTTATCTTCCTTTACTGAAAGCGATAATGAATCATTGAGCCATATTATTTGAACAAGGTAATATTACAATTGTTCACTGAAGAAAATTACTTTTCTTTTATAAGAAATAAAGTTCTCTAGTTTCAAAAAATTGACCTCATTTAGTTCGTTAAGTATAACTGACTTCTAAATGATCGTCAGAACCCAATCAGTTCCGTTACTGGAGAAGACAGTCTTCAGACTGTCGTTCTCAGTTAACTAGCTCACTAATATGGTTCTCTCTGTTCTTTGCTGACAAGTAATCAATCGAGGAGTTTGTAGTTTCAACACAGCTAAGACATTAAACTGATAACTTTTTTTATTTAAAATACCACTAAATGGATATTCGATATATCCACCATCATTTGTAAGTTTTCCAATAACTTGATATTTTTGTAGAAAATGTGATAATTTACCAAATATTGCACTTCCTGGATTATCTTGATTGATGTGAATTTTGGTATGAATTATATAGGGAATTTAAGGGGAGGAGGAAAAAAAGTTTAGTATTATAGATCGATATATGAGCGATCAAGTCGTTGTTCTGGCTAATTTAACAAATTATTAGCAACATTATCTTCCAAACGTGCACCATTCCGTAATCTAATGGAATGTCACTTGGGAATATTCCAAAGTTAAGAATTTTAAGATAAACAGTGACTTAGTATATTTATTATTAACGATTATCAAGCAGTAAAGTAGACTTGAAGAGAAATTATTATGTAGTTTTCTTGTACTACAACGTATTCTTATTTAGATACTCCAGTATTTTTATTATTATTATTTTATAGGTTCCTTTTTTCTCTTGTTGAACATTCAATTGATTATTTGTCTCTTCTAAACATGCAATTGAATTTTCTTGTTTTTTTTTAATAACCTGTAAAATTATATTATTCTCAACATAAAATTAAATATTTTCTTTTCTTGAACAAGTTTACTTTTGAATAGGAAAAATGAATAATTTTCTTTGTATTTGAAATTCTATAAAATATAAATCTACTATAATTCTTTAAAAATTCCTATACAGTAAAACCTCGTTTATTTTAGGGCGTACAATTACAAATAAATGAAGTGGTCACCTAGATGGGATTATGAAAAAATTCGACGTATAAAACTGTAATTAAAGTATTGTTCTGTATCTTGTTAAGTTTCATAAGATTGTAAAACTAAACAAAAAAATAAACAATTCACATAATACCATACATCCTTTGTAATACACAGCAATTCAAACTCTTATATAGGGTAATATATTAATTAACATTGAATGTTGAACCATGTATTTCAACATTGAATGAGTGTTGAAATACACGGTAAATGTACTGTACAGTGAATGCAAATTGTTTACAGTAGCGTTCATTCAAGTACTACACAGTGCTGAACGGAATTGTTTAGTGCCCGTAGACGGAATCAGTATGTTTATAAAATGCTAGAAAAGGATTTATTTAAATACTGTATTTTAATAAGAAGATTTAGAAAAAAATTATTAAACGAAAATCACTAAATATACAGAAGTGTCCAAGTGTCGAAAAAAGTGTTAATAATTACATCCTCTTTACACCAGGCTTTCTGAAGTATGTTTT